ATTCGCCAAGGTACATGATAGTTCTAGAAACGTGGCATCACACTAGTCATGTGACTCGCTGACGCAACAATACCATAAAATCTATCTTTACCACACATCATCCCCAGCATGTATGTTTCAACAGACAAGAGAAGTTTTACTTAGGTTTATACAAGGATTATATTTTCAACTGATGCAAACTTAACTAGACAACACGGATCATATTTACGAACGACCTAACAATATAGTATAAAGGAAGGCTTGCATATAGTTCATTTCTAAGTTTCAAAATAAACTTCACAGATATAGTCAGATTTTAGTTTGCTAAAACAACTGTGCATTTGCATAAGTATAAAAATTGAAATGGAATGATAATAAATAATAATATACCTACTAGCATTATTAAATAACAAAATACTTAAAAGAATCTTTTCTGATTCATGCATACATACATGTATTAATTTCATCTCCCCCCCCCCCCAAGTCAGGTTAAGATTACATGCCTCTTTCACATATATGTGTACATCTTTTCAACTTTTCCTCCAAGATCAGGTTAAGACTTCAAGTCTATTTCATGCATACATACACTTTTCATCCTTTTTGCCCCCTACATCAAGTTAAGATTACACATTTGATTCATACATAAATCAATACATTCATGGAATTAAACAGTTTTTTTTTATACTCACAACATTAACATTATTTATATTGGAATGCGTTTTTTTTTGTTAAGCACAAAAGCTACACAATGGGCTATCTATGCTGTGCTAACCACAAGTATCAAAACCTAGTTTTCAGCAGTGTGAGCACCGAGATTTACTACTGAGCCATTGGGGAGCATCTTGGGATACAAAAAAAAAGAATGATATGTATATATAAGGTTAATAAATTCTGAAAGCGGTAAAACTTGTATGTTTATTAGATTAGTACTTACACAAACTTGTTAAGTGGGTGTTCGTTGTAGGAGTACCTGATGAACTACTGAAAACTGTGATAGAAGATGTGGTTGTGGATGTCTCAAAAGATGTAGCCACTACTGCACTGCCGCTGACTGTTTCTGTTGCTACCTGACCATTGGCTTGAGAGCTATGATTATCTTTACCAGAATCTGTTCAATTAAAACACTGTCAAAAATTTCTCTTTAAACCAAACTTTTATGGCTTTAGATATGTTATCACCAATAACTAACACACAAATTGACACAAAAATAAGAAATTTTACTGTAGTTGTTCTTGTTCTTAGACATTTTTTAATTTTTCAAAAGGCCTTCCCTGTTTGATTCTGTAGTAATAAGTCTAGTTGGTAGTACCGAGTGCACATGTAATTAATTTGCATATAAATAGCTTGAAGTCTCTAGTATACATTTACAATACAAAAAAAGAAAAAGAAATCTAACATATAAGCTACAAAACGAAATAAAATATTTTGGATTTGATATACATCAAGTTAGACTAATTTCAGCAAATACTAATTCTTAGCAGTGCATAGCCCTGAACAAGAGTAAACCAAAAGAGAATCAAGATTTACAATAGTAATCAATGAGCAAATGAAGACACAAAACCTGATGAGTAACTACAACAGCTGTAAAATACTTAAGAATTAGTAATCTATAACTTACATACAGTTTTTGACAAACTCAATACTGAGATTATATGTAACCTAAGAAAATACAACAATAAACCTTATAACAATTTGCTAATCTATATGCAACTACTTAAATGTCAAAAAGCATATAGCACTGTCTTTTATATCAACATCAATTTTTTTATAAAATAATATTTGTATGAAAAATATTTTTCTTAAATCTTAAAAAATTAGAGTACATATTATGTATTATCACCAAATGTTGCATTCAAAGAAAATGAATGTGTTTTTATATGTTCGTTAATATACTTTTTTATATTTTTTCATAAAAGGTACCAAACAGGTTGTTAACAACACCTGTCACTGATTTACATAATGAGAAATATCTGGTTTGGAAACTGGATTTACTCAAAAATGAAAAAGCATATAAAATATATTTTGGGAATTAAAATATAACAGTACAAATTCTCAAGCTACACTAACATGTGTTTTATGTTAAAAACTCCATCTAAAATACATGTACTTCAAACGTACAGTGTGAAATGTCAGGCTTTAAAGAGTAATCTATGAATAAAAAAACAAACAAACATATATATCACAATGCTACTTTTCTATTGTTTAAAGACTTCACCAAATATAACACTTACTATGGTAATCAATGGTACACACTCAAAACACTCATAATTGTATTCTATGCCATATTATTCATTTAATAATAACAACTCCCATTAGTTTTTAACTACTGACAAACCCTACATTTAAAATTTATTTTTTGACTTTTTAACAAATATGATCACTAAAATAGTTCTCTTGAGGTCAAAATGGTTTGGCTTATATGAATTTGTCAGTCATATTAATGAATGTATATAAAAGAAATATATAATCTCCTGTGAGGTCTGAATTTAAGAATACACTACATTATTTTGCACAAAAGTTTCAATATACAAGTAGAGGCTGAACCTGAAACTATTTTTATATTTGTAAGTTTTCTAGTCTTCTTGAACTTTCTTGCAAGCCATCAGAGTGAAGACTTTCAAGCACTAATTATGCAAAAATTATAAGGTATGTTTTTTTTATATAGCATGTTATTTTAGTAGAGAATGTTTTCCTGCTAGGAAGAAGAGGTGTACCTTGAGCTATTAATAACAAGTCATATCATATTTATTCTACACTTTATATCTAGATTGTATCTCAACAATACAAAACTTATCAATCAATAGCTATTTCTAGCTGGAAACTGGGGTAATGAGACCAAACTTTGTACCCATATGTTTAGACTTAGTTCATTAATAATAAAAAAATAACAACTTTAAACATTATAAAGTAATGAAACTTATTAGGTAGAACAAATAAACTTTCCTGAATGCTGCTGTCATAAAAGTTTTTCTATGCTTAGCTAAATATAATCCAAACAGTTTTTCTGCAAGTAGGTTTTTTCATTGTACAGTAATTAATATTTTTTATTACTCAAACACATGAATATGCAGTAAGTATTGAATAAAGATTTGAATAAAATTATGTTTTAAAAGGTTCCAAACTTATTTTAGTGACCATTTCAAAAAACTGTTTTAAAAGTATATTTTATTATGTTATTCAATAACACTTTTCCAACAGTGACATTCACATATTTTCTATTTAAAAAATGAAAATAGAAGTTGACCTTAACTTTCTGTGGATTAAATGATGCTCATATGATTGCAAAGTTTCATTTTATGTGAAACACAGTACATCCCATACAGCAACAGCCACAATTAACACACCAAATAACATGAACTACTGAATGATTCTAGAGTACTTCTTGTGCAACAACAGTGACCTTTATGAACCATTAAGTCTTGCAATAGAAACAGTATAAGCTCAAATGAAAACTAGTATGTGTATTACAACTTTTACTTGACAAAAAAAGCATAATAGGGAGAAAGGTAAAACAAATAATTCTATAAACATATTTTTCAACTAGTTCTAAGCTAGTTATTTCTAATTTAAATTTTCATAGCACAAGATGTAATTCTATATATATATAGACACACACACGCGCGTATACATACATTTAAGTTCACAGACTCATCATACCAGTATTTCTATTCTCTTCCTTTACAAATTGATAAAAACCTCAAGCAACCATTGGTGGTGTCTATTTCTGCCTAATGCCTATTAAGATTGCATTTATGCCCACACTTGATGAAGCATGACTCACTCTTTATGTGCACATTTTGTTGATAAAGCAGTGAATCAAACCTACTCACCCTTCTGATTACTGATAACTCCATCAGGAATCAGTACACCCCTCTTAATGAGGTCTTCTTTCGTAGACCGCATCGAGATTTTCCTCTCCAAGACTGTCAACACCAAAAAGAAAATCATATAATACACTAAGTGAGTTCATTCTACAATGTCATATTTCATACATGCATCCGTTTGTTTTATACCACAGAACAATTACATAATGCTAATAAGTTGCTAGATAGGAAGGCTTGGTTCTAGAACAAAATGTTTTTAACTTGTCTAGTATTTTATTCATCTTTGACTTTTAACAGTTAGTAGCTCAAGGCTATTCTCAAAGACTTCAGAAACACATGATGCAAACTAAGTGTTCTATTGAAAACACACACTCAGAAGTGACAATTTTTCAGACTGTCAGAAATTAAAAATACTATTTACTTTCCAAACACTTGTTTCTTTGTATAGATCATGTTTTAGAAAACCTTCTAGCATATCTTGCACCAACACTTCCAACTTTATCAAAGACTATTCTACACTCCAACTGAAGAAATACACACGTAACTTGTGGCACAATGTCACATTATAGGTAACAATTTCAAAAACCTAGAGACACTGCTTATGCCACAATATCACATTAACCCATCAAAAAAAAATCCACACATTATTTGTGTGACAATATCATATTAAAAAAAAGCATCAACACAAGAAATGTACATACTATTTACATTACAGTACCACACTATTACTAAGCAAACTATTAATAAGTGAAACCCAAATATGTTGAAATCTAAAATATTACATTAAAGCAGTCATCAACAAGAAATCTATAAACTACTTATATTAAAAAATCATGTCAAAAAAAGGCATAAACAGAAGAAATATTCACATTACTTGTATCACAATATTATGTTAACAAAGTCATCAGCAACAGAAGTACATGCATTACTTGTGTCACATTAATACTAAAGAAACAAGAGAAATCTACTGACCACGTGTTACAATATTGTTAAAGAAACAGTACTTTATCTAAATAAAAACAGTAAAAAAATCAGGTTATGTTGGATTAGAAGGATACTTAAAAAGAAAAAAAAAGGAAAATTTTAAGATTCTTTATTTAGTTTAAAATAGTATGTAGATATGAAGAAAAGGGTATTTTGTGAATTTGAGACGTGCTTGATAATTATTCAGTTATTTTACTTTCAACTGAAAATACTCAAATTATGTGATTTGTAAATCTTTCTCCAACAGGATATTCATAATTAAAATACAGTTGAAGAGAGATGTATATCAATGGGAACATAAACAGAAGTAGCACAAAAAATAAGTAAAATTATAATTTTTGTTGTTTACATAATCTCAATTTCCAAAAATATTAAAAAACTTTTCCTAAACTGGAAAAAAGTTACTTATACTCCATGTCCTAAACTGGAAAAAAGTTACTTACACTCCACGTCCTAAACTGGAAAAAAGTTACTTACACTCCACGTCCTAAACTGGAAAAAAGTTACTTACACTCCACGTCCTAAACTGGAAAAAAGTTACTTACACTCCACGTCCTAAACTGGAAAAAAGTTACTTACACTCCACGTCCTAAACTGGAAAAAAGTTACTTACATTCCATGACAAATAACATTTCTTCTTCATTGTTTTTAACATTATTATAAATATTAAAAAATACACATATAGAAATTGAGAAAGAAGTCTGTAGTTATCAGGAGATATAGTAAATGAATTTCTCTTAATTCCATTTTTAACATAAAAAGTGGTTTTTTATTGTACATCATAATCACAGGTTCATTCAAAGAGCCTAAAACACCTTAAGGTGCTGCCAAAGTATTTACAATTAAACAATTATCAAATATTGTTTATTCACTTACGTGTACACACATTTTCAGTTGATTTTGGACAAAACAGAAAAAAAATAATGTTTTAATAACAGCCTTATATCACTCATGTTAAAAACAACACCCGAAGTCTCATTTTTCTGATCAATACTTGAAAGAAAGCATACATATTACATTTTGTTGTTGAGTTAATTAGTTTTACATGGTTAACAACAAAAAGATTTTAAACCTTGTGATAATATCTATAAAAAAGGGATCATAATAGTTATGTACTTTAACTACACATCCCTTAGTAACAAAAGCAAAATAAACAATTTTACCTCGAGATGTTTTCTCAAATCTCTCACTTCTTTTCTTTCTCTTCCATTTCCAAGGCTTGAAAAGCCTCCTGAAAGCTGACAAACGGCTAGGTTTGACTTCCACAGAAGGGACAAAGCTGGTGTGGGATGAGGTGCCAAGTGATGATGTTCTCATGGCATTACCTGACTTCTTACCTACATGTAAATTAAAATAATTTCTTGAAACTTCTAGTGGTAAGATAGATTTTTGTTTTCTGCTATAACACGCAAATTACCCAACAAAAATTTACTAGTTTTTACATTTTAACTTTTGAAAATTATATATAATATTTGTATTCAAATATGATATCTATTTTAAGTTTTTTGTATTAACACAGATAATAAAAATTAGTATCATTCTAAATATTTATTCCTTACATGGTGGTTTAAACAAGAAACAAAATAAACCATTAACAAAGAAAACAAACAAATCAAAACCTTACACATCCTATAATGCCAGCTGCTGTGACATTATGGTTCAAACACAAATCACAACCTTATAGATCGAAATGTATGATAACCACATGCACACATGTTC